AGTATTGTGTTACAGGCGCATATCTAGAAATTTAGAAAGGAGGTGCTGAGGGTGCTTGACGTGCACAGCAATTTTTGGCCACGTCCCCTTTTACGGTAGTAAAATGGCATTTTCCTTTATGTTCATAAATTACGTGTGGGGTCAAGATGATTTCAAGCAGCTGGTAATTCTGATTACTCCTTAAAGCACTGAAGACTGCTGAAATTATGATCAGGGGGCTAGATAACTTTGTTAAGAGGCTTAGTAGTGATGCAAGAATCTAGGACTTAAGTAATTTTTTTTTCTGAGCCCAAGATGATAAAGTCCCCCCCTTGGATATGCCACTGAAAGTTTAAATCATGGTTTGGATTATAGATTAGGGAATTTAATTGATTTATGTGTAGCTTTGTTGAGTTTATACAATTGTTTGTTTTTTTGCTTTGTTTATGAGCGTTATTACCATAACAATAATTGTATATTCAAATTCAGAAACTGAAAGTGCTTTACTCTTTTAAGTTGAACTCTACTTTTAGTAAATTTATTTTTATTCTGTTCACTAGTTTGTAAGTAAAGCTATGGCAAATTGTTTTGTTTCTTATTTTGCAAAGAAATGGCAACCTTTCCTTTGTATTTCTCCTTCAGCAGTTTTGGTTCTATTGTCGTACTATCTCATATTTACTCATAGTTTCTTAATAAGACGTTTTATTGCTAGCTACTTAACTGAAAATTTTCCCACCTCCTGGTACAAGTATGGTCTATTTATTTTGGCGTGCTCAGGATGGCTTTCTTTCCCTTTATTCGGTCTGTTAGCTGATGTATGGATTGGAAGATACAAAGCTATACTGATTGGTATAGTATTGTGTTTTATGGCATGGATTATAACAGGCATTGGAGTTATTGTGGACAGTAACTTTGACTCTGAGACAGTACTATACTGTATTTACACTTTTGGTTTTGTATTACATTTTTGTGGTTTTTCCAGTTTCACTGCTAACATTATTCAGTATAACATTGATCAACTTGTTGGAGCTTCAGCTGATGAACTGAATTCTGTCATATACTGGTATATACTATCTGAACCACTTTTGAGCTTGCTTTATCATCTTCTTCAATGCTTATTTTATAATAGTAAGTATTTTATCATGATCACTTTCATAGCATTGGGTGTATCTGTATCTCTTGTACTGGTGTCTCATTCATTCTTCAAACACAAACTGGAGAACATATCACTGATCAAGAATCCCATCAAACTCATAGTTAGAGTATTGTGTTATGCCAGGAAGCACAAGTATCCTGAGAATCGTAGTGCTCTGACCTACTGGGAGGAAGAGGTTCCTTCAAGACTAGACCTGGGTAAGGATAAATATGGTGGGCCATTCACAGAGGAAGAGGTAGAAGATGTGAAAACAGTACTTTGTATGCTACCATTGTTCATTGGTTTTGTGGCCTTTATTCTCAGTGATGACTATTATTGGTCGGCTGTTGATGGTTTTACATTACTAACTTGCTTTGCAGTAACAGACTCTCAATATTATTTTTGTTCAGTCATTCTAATGCTCCTTTATTTATTCTTTATCAGAGTCTGTTTCTACAACTATATTCCCAGTATGCTGACTAGAATGAGTGTTGGTCTTTTCCTTGCTTTCATTGTTACAGTTTCTAAAGTGATCATATTTGTCATTGAGAGGTCTCATCCTGACATAAACAATGTTGGTAAACTGCTTTTTGTTCCACAAACTATTCAAGGTTTCTTTTTTATATTATTGTATCCAGTATCACTGGAGTTTACAGTAGCTCAGTCTCCAGTACACATGAGAGGAGTGATGGTTGGATTGTGGTTTGTGGCTTGTTGGGGAATTGGTTATCTCATTAATAGTGTTATCAAATTTTCATTTGCTTGTGAGAGTCAATACATCTGTAACAGTTTCTATTATTATATAACAAAGAGTGTACTAGTTCTTATCATACTGATAGTGTTTGTGATACTGGCTAAACGTTACAAGTATCGTGTGAGAGAGAATGAAGTTAATATTGTTCAGATAGTTGATGATCATTATCAGAGATACATAAATCAAAGGGAACAATTTGGTAGTGACACTGACAGTGACTCCTCCAGTGATTGACGGTATGCAGACTGTGCACTATAAAGAACTACAATTAATTTTTGAATGTATTGTTTCTACAATTTGTGCCATAGATCAGGAAATTTGTGTAGGAAATTTTTGAGTTTTAAAATTGTGCTGTGATTTAATTTACATAGGACTTTGTCATGTATTATTAAATTTGGCATGTAATTATATTGGTAATCTATAATATTTTTTTCTGCGAAATTTTAATCCAGTAAAATTAAAACCACACCAGATAGACGGTACTGTTAAACCCTATTAACACTAATTTTTGGGTTGTACCATATAGTGCTTTAATTTTGCAGGGCTAAAATTTTGCAGATTGATGACATACAATTTTTAACATGGAAATTAATTTTGTGGATCTTCAACGTTAGTGCCACGCCTTTAATGGAAATTCAATAGTTAGTAGATCATTAATTTTGTAGTTGCATGCTAACTCTTAAAAACAGTGAAAGTTTTGCTCCTTGAAAGTAAAGCACTACACGGTATTTGATTTTGTGTTTGAGTAATTGCATGCATTCATCACGTAACATGTAGAACTAAGTGTGCATCTACGCATTATAAAGTTTATAGGCATTGTTATACATTTTGAGAAATTTTTAATTGAAGGTATTATGTTTGTGTACATGTACATGTGCATTACTGAGCATGCACATTAATGATTGGCGGTTGTAATATTGAAGATTCAGCGGCTTGCAAACTACCAATCACCAAAATAAAACTGCACCAAATTAAAGCACTACATGTATGTGGTATTTTATAACATTTTATATACTTACAAATAATTACAATACAACCTATATTGTGTCATTATATGTGTGCTAGCTTAAACCAATATTTCACTCATTATGTTTTATAGTATTGTACATCATATCATTGCCTAAAGTAAGGTTTAGGACAGTTTCTTGACTTGGCTTTTAACTATCATGTTTGTTATTTCTTTGCTTCCTTTATGAGTGTTACTACCATAACTATGATATGACGTATTCAAACTCTGAAACCAATAATCCTTTGCTCTTTCAAGTCACAATGCTTTATTCGTTCTTTCAAGTTCAACATTATACTCTGTACAGTCACTAGTTTATAGCTACAGCTTCTTTGGTAATGAAATGGCAACCTTTTCTTTGTATTTCTCCTCCAGCAGTTTTGGTTCTATTGTGGAACTACCTCATGTATACTCATGGTTTCTTAATAAAGCATTTCATTGCTGGCTATTTAACTGAAACCTTTCCTTCCACCTGGTACAAGTATGGTCTTTTGATTGTGTCATGCTCTGTAAGTTTTTATTTTCCTTTATTTGGTCTGTTAGCTGATGTATGGATTGGAAGATACAAAGCTATACTGATTGGTATAGTATTGTGTTTTATGTCATGGATTATAATAGGAATAGTATTTATTGTGGATATCTACTACGTTGCTTCTGAAACATTGCGATATTGTATTTATAGTCTTGGTTTTATATTTCAGTTTAGTGGTTTTTGCAGTTTCACTGCTAACATTATTCAGTATAACATTGATCAACTTGTTGGAGCTTCAGCTGATGAGCTGAGTTCTGTCATATACTGGCATATACTATCTGAACCACTTTTGAGCTTTCTTTATCATATTTTTCATTGTATATTCAAGAAGTATTTTATCATGATAAATTTTATAGCATCAGGTGTATCTGTATCTCTTGTACTGGTGTCTCATTCATTCTTCAAACACAAACTGAAGAACATATCACTGATCAAGAATCCCATCAAACTGATAGTTAGAGTATTGTGTTATGCCAGGAAGCACAAGTATCCTGAGAATCGTAGTGCTCTGACCTACTGGGAGGAAAAGGTTCCTTCAAGACTAGACCTGGGTAAGGATAAATATGGTGGACCATTCACAGTGGAAGAGGTAGAAGATGTGAAGACAGTATTTCGTATGCTACCATTATTCATTGGTTTTGTTGCTTTTATTCTCAGTGATGACCTATACTGGCCTGCTGTTGATGGTTTTACAATACCAACTTGCTTAGCAATAACAGACTCTCAGTATTATTTATGCTCAGTCATTCTAATGTTAGTTTATTTATTCTTTATCAGAGTTTGTTTCTACAAGTATATTCCTAGTATGCTGACTAGAATGAGTGTTGGTATCTTCCTTGCTTTCATTGTTACAGTTTCTAAAGTGATCATATTTGTCATTGAGAAGTCTCATCCTGACATAAAAAACTTTGGTAAACTGCTCTTTATTCCACAAACTATCCAAGGTCTTGCTTTTATTCTTGTGTATCCAGTATCACTGGAGTTTACAGTAGCTCAGTCTCCAGTGCACATGAGAGGAGTGATGGTTGGATTTTGGTATATAGCTTGTTGGGGTCTTGGCTATCTTATTAATACTATTTTGAAATTTCCATTTGATTGTGAGAGTCAATACATATGTACCAATTTTTATTATTATATAGCAAAGAGTATACTAGTTCTTATCATACTGATAGTGTTTGTGATACTGGCTAAACGTTACAAGTATCGTGTGAGAGAGAATGAAGTTAATATTGTTCAGATAGTTGATGAGCATTTTTATAGACACATGAGACAAGAGGAACAATTTGGCAGTGACACTGACAGTGACTCTACCAGTGATTGACATTAGATCTTTGTATATGCTAATAAGGACTACAATTTACTTTAAATGATACTTAATTGTTTTTTTGTGATTTAGTATTGTGCTGCTTTAGATTAAATAAAATTTAAATTTTGGAGAGTTAAGTTAATTCATAATTTATTAATACTAAATTACTAATGTATTCATTCTAGTGTTTTCACACTGTTGCTTTCATCATTATAAAAATGACTAAAATTAATTTTGTATGTATATTTTTTATGTAGTATAGTTTATAATCATTGTTATACCTTTTGACATTATTATTTTATTGAAGGTATATTGACAGTCATTGCTACATTCCTTGCTCTGTATTTTGATGTGGCTCTACCAAATGAATTGAAAGGGTTCATATTCTTTGCACAAGTAAGAGAAAAGCTATGATTCTATATACATGTATGTTATGCACACAATTTTGATAAATTAGTGTAGTTGTAATATTGACTGTACTAAGTTTTGATAATTTTGATTTTAATGTTATGTGTACATGTGAAATTATTTATTATTGATTGTAGGTAATTGGAGTCATTTATCGCAACAGTCCTTACCTGAATAGAAACGAAGGAGCTGGGGTTAGATACATTTAAGTTAAAGTGTATTGATTATTGCACAGTGTACTAAACTAATCAGATCTATAGCATAAACTAGATTCAATTAAAATTGACAGTTTCATTTTGCTGACATGCAAACTTTATAATTGACATTCATAAAAGCTGTACTGTGTTATGACTTGTCTTTTAATAATGACTTTGTCATTTTTAGGATCAATTTTTGGATTTCATTATTAATATGTTTGGTCTCTCTCTTCCCTTCCCTGTCTGTTTCACTGGATTTTCAGGTGCTGGTATCACCTGGTTAGGTGTTGTACCTCCAATACTGGCACTAGCAACAGCTCTTATTTACCTTATAAGGTAGTCTATCATTACAATGAAGAGTAAATAATACCTAAAGTTATTATTAATAATAATTATGTGCATGCTCAATGGCACGTGGCCACAAATTTGCCAAATAAAAATCTGCAAATTACCTAAATTTAGCAATTCACCAAATTTAACTCCCTCCAAATTTTCCACTATACGATAATTCCTTCAGGTATTATTTGTGACCATAATTGACAAAAGGTACCTTATGGCGGATTTTAAAATTCATCATTAAAATGAAAAATATCATCCTGTGTGTCCTCTGATGGACAAACATTGTTTTTAAAAGTTACGTAGGAACTTTTTGCACACTTTGGAGTAATTTTATGATAAATGAAGCTCAGGAAGTTGGATTTTTTTGGCTATAAAGTCAAATTTCACTACCCGCCATAAGGTACCTTTTGTCAATTATGGTCACATTTACTCTTGCTACACTGCATGCTATGCATGTTTCTCATTTAAACACTTTGAACTCTAAAATATTTGCATAATAATTGTAACTATTTAAATTTAATTTTTATTCCGTAACTTCATGTACATGTACCATAGTGGGAAATTTTGGAGAGAGTTAAATTTGACAAATTCTAGAATTAATTTTGGTATTTGGCGAATTTTAATTTGGCAAATTTGTGGCCACTTGCCATTGAGCATGTCCATAATGGCTCAAATGGTAGATGTTTATTTTTTGTCAAAATGCCAAATTCACCAAATTTAACTCCCTCCAAAATTTCCAACTATACGGTATATTTAAGAGGCTATTATGTATAATAATGAAAAATGGTCCTCACAATGTACCCATACAAGTTTATTTTGTTTATTTCTACTCTTTTTCTAGTGCTGAGAATGTCAAGTTTCTATACGAGAGGAAAAGCTATGGTTTTCATGGATTTCACTTCATATGTCTCTTCATTTATAAGTACTTTTTAGACACTAGCTTTGCTTTCATCAGCATTAGAAGAGTGTATGGGAATCATTATGTAAGTAACTTACATGTAATTGCCTTTTTCATTTTTCGATCACTCACCCTCACCTACTTTTTTTAATTTGCAATTCTCTATATTTAAAAAAACAATTACAATTTTAATCATTATGTGAGTACTTGCCTTTCAATTTTTTACTGACCCTCACATACCATTTTTTTTATTTGTAATTCTCTAAAATAATTATAAATTTTTTATTTTTTGTATTGGATTTTTAGGTGTTTAGTTATACAGGAGAGTCATTTCTGTCTCCATTGATATTGACAATGTTCATAATTGGCATAGTGTCTGTAATCTTGTTTGCTGCAGTTATCCCAATACTCTTCCTTGTCTACATATATCGGCCTCAAGTAAGACTGTTCATTATTTTGTTTAATTTTCTCATTTCTTAGTTATGCTAAGCTAAACCAAATATTTTTATACCATAGTATACGTATGCATGTACTACAGTACATGGTCTGTTTTTTATTCCCAACTGCTTATTTAAACCATTACCAGTCCTTTCAGTTTCAAGTGATAAGTGATAATCTTAATGTAACATAAACTTAAGCACATAAACATACTATATGTTTTCCGGTCAGAAATGGCTAGGAGCACTATACATACATGTGCAGGGGCGTAGCCAGGGGGGCAAGGGGGGCAATTGCCCCCCTTTTTCAAAATCAAAATTTAAAAATAATCAAATAATAGCTGCTTTTGGAAGGAAAAGCTGTTCTACAACATACACATGAAAGGAAAAAGCCAAAGCAGTCTTTCTATGATGCCATTATAAAGCTGAATAAGTATTCAACTTTGCTTATGATTGGTCAAGAAGTCCGCCATGTTAAAAAATAGGCATGGTTATGCCCATAAGGGCGTGATTTCACAAAATTTTGCGGCATGCTTTGTGCACCACACATCCTGCCCCCCCTTTCCCAAAATCCTGGCTACGCCACTGATGTGCATGTGTGCTGTATACATACATGTATGTCAGAATTGTTTTTTATTTAGAAATTTATAAAGTTGCTTCAAAACCCTGTGTAGTGGGTTTTTAATCAAAAATGGCTACAAGGGAATTCATTATTTTATATATTGTTTTAATTAGAACATAAATTTTTAAGTTGCCTAAAATTTAGTTTAAAGTCCATGTAGGGCATGTACTATAATAGTAGAGGTTCATTGGCCAAATTTTGTAAAAAATTAAAAAAGAAAGAATTTTCCATATTTATAATTTTTTTCTGGTGCATATACATGTACTTATGTTGTCTAGAAAATTTAAGCTCATTCCGATTGAGATTAGATTTTTTATGAATTTGTAAAAATGCTCTAAAATTTTGCCAAAAATGAAAGGGAGAGAATTCTTCATTTTTATTACCTTTTTGATGCATATACATGTACATATACATGTACTTATGTTATGTATAAATTTTGAGCTGAGTCCAATCAAGTTAGTATTTAAACAGCCTTTATTGCACTCAAACTTTGAACTCAAAAGTTTATAAATATGTGAATGCTGTTTCTCTTCGTTATAAAAATTACTATTACTTGTTTATTCATTAAAATTTTTATTTTTATTTACAGAAACGTCTTCATTTGGCAAATGCTTTCACATTTGGTCTGAAAACAGAGCGAATTTATCTCTGGCATGGAGTGTGGGACATATGGAGAAGGCTACCATTTGTGGCCATTAACTTGTTCATCTCAGTATCAACAGTATCAATCTTAGTGGTAAGAATAGTTATTATTCTTGTAATATTAACCATGGACTACCATATAGTGAGAAATTTTGGAGGGAGTTAAATTTAGTGAATTTGGCGTTTTGATAGCCATTTGCCAAATTAAAATTTGCCAATCAACAAAATTTAGCTAAATTTAACTCCCTCTAAAATTTTCTGCTATACAGTACTACAGGTATACATGGTCATTGTATTGCCAAAAGTAAATGGATATTATTTGAGAAGCTAACTTGAAAATAGAATCAGTCTGTTATAACTTGTCATTTGTCTATAGCTATTTTTTGCTCAATTAAGATTATGTAATTGTTGATTAGATTGTATGTCACACACAGGATAACTTTTGAGAAAATCTTAATTTTTGAGAATCCTCATGCTTATTAATGAATAGCAACAAATTCACTACATTACCAATCACTGAAATCTTAGCAATGTTCCAAAACTCCCCCTCCAAATTAACAGTGGTATGACTGTCACATTTTTAGGAGTTCATTACTCAACGTACATTAGGCGTAATTACAATACTATGCAAAGCATTCATCTTCTGTTATGTTTTATTCAATATAGCTGCTACACTGTTTAATGGTCCTTGTCGTCCTCACAGTTCATTGTGTCTTTAAGCCATACAAGAAAGAATCAATTAATTTCATTGAAGTTGTTATTCTGTTCTGCCTTCTTGGAGCAACACTGGCTATACTGGACGAGAATGATATTTACATTGGGAGAACAACTAGTATATTCTTTATTACAATCCCATTTATATATGCATTGGTCGTTTTCATTTACTACATATTTGCTAAATTATACAGGTTAGCTGGAAATGACAATTTATTTGTTTAAACTCACTCTCTTTCTGTCACTTATTTCTTTTTCTCTTGCCTTATATTTAGGAGAAAGAATCCTGATTTTAGTCTAAGTGCATTATTAGCTTCGAAACTACAACAGTTTTCTCCTTCGCATAAGCCTCATGATCAGTCCGGTGGTGAGGAGAAGCCAAAGGAACCAACAGATCCTACTGCAATTAGTAAAAGTGAGCAATTAGATGCAAGTGGTATTGTACCACTCCGTGAACCACTTTTGGAAATGAACTCATAATCTTTATTGTGATTGACTCTGAAATTATGTTTTCTGTCATTAGCAAAACTAATGTTTGTATACTGAACAAATTTTATATAATTTTATATATGTATATTGTATTTTGTATTGGTAAATGGAGTATACTACTAATGAGATTGAGATCTACAATCACTGGAATGCTACAGCCCAGGATCTGCATGCACATTGCAGTGATAACTATTTTCATGGATCATTAGGTAGCATTAAGCACCTGCCACAATTCACACCATCCTTTATAAAGGAACATGTGTCTACTGATCATGAAAGGAATTTGTAATTAAAAAAAACATAGATTGTTTTTATAAGTGCAATGCTTACTAGATTATTACCATCAATAAATAAACAAGCAACAACTCATAATTGATACAAGTATTTTTGAAATGTGTGTAGAGCATATGAAGTTACAACACTCACTCCTACTTACTACAAAATATATGTAAATAATGCTTCATGATATCATATGACATTTTACTTAATGTATAACTCGGTAACATCAATTGGAATGGCTTCTTCAGGATAGCTTTCCCCAGTACATATTCTTAGTTCAATAGGATCATCAGTCGACTGGCTCAGACCTTTAACAAACCATGGAGTTTTAGCAGAAGTGCAACAAGTAGATTCAAGCGAGCCACACTGTTGACCATCCCACAATGCATCATCAAGATAAAACACGTAATGATAATTTGGAATTGGAGATGGTGACCCCGACTCACAATAATAATCATTGCCAACGTATGACGGAGTAGTAACACTGCTGCGATTATTGCAAGGACAATTCTCATTTGAGTTAGTGGTCTCATCTTGTCCAGCTATGTACGTCCATATATGTTGGCGTGGGTTGCTTCCATGGGTAATTGATACTCCATCAGCGTATGGATCATCAATACTCAGTGTCTGTCCTTCTCTGTTCCTATTGACTCCATCAACTGATCCAAACTGATAGCCTCTGACCTGCCCACATACTGTAGTGTAATTTATCCCAAAAGAGGAAAAGAATGTGGAGCCACATCCGCTGCCAAATTCATCAAGATCTTGATCACAAATGACTCTGTTTTCAAAGGTGTATTGAAAGAGTCCATGAGGACAGGTAGCATTAGGCTTTGTCATATCAATATC